GTGCAAGTTATAGTTCTAAATATTAAGCTCACGAATTAGTATATTCAAAATATTATTTAAAATTTTAAAAATTTGTAAAAATAAAAATTTGGTAATTAATAATTAATGTCTATTATTTTTATTAAAAATGTAAATAATAAGCATTTTAAAAAATTTATAAAGTAATACAACGTAATTTTTAATAAAAAAATATACTTATAATTTTTAAAGGTAATGGATCCTAAAAGTTTAGAGCTTTCTAGATAAAAACATGCATTTAACCTTAGCCAGGAATTGCCACACCAAGTTAGTTTGTGCCAAGTGGCAAGACTTGGTAGGCCCACCTCACCGTGAAGAATGCTCTGAAAGCATAATTTATTCGTCTGCAGGAAAACGTACATTCTGTTCATTATTTTCTTCCTTTTCTCAGTGAAATATACGTTAACACGCTTATTTGACCCTAAGTGCATTAAAATTCCCTCGTGTAAGAGGGAAACTTACAAAAATAAATTATACAAAGACACATTATTATTTATATATTTCTTTTGATTTATATATATATATATATATATATTCATTAAAATAATTAAAAAGTAATTCTATATTATAAATTTATATTATATTTAAAATATTTATATTATATATTAGAGTTGAAGATAATCAACTAAAAATATAAATTTTAATTAAAAAATAAAATACTAATTAAATATATTCACTTATATAAATAATAAATTAAAATCTCACTAACATTAATTTTTAAAAATAAATATGAAACTAATTGAACAAATAATATATTTAAAAATAAGTTTATATTTCTTCTCACGAGAAAAAAAATATTAGTCATTGGTATATTAACTTTTAAATTAAATATAAAAGAAATTATATAAATTAAAAAGTGGTATTTTTTTAATTTAAAGATAATTTATTGGATTGATTCTGAAATAATTAATATAAAAATAAATATTTAAATTATTTTTTAACTAATTAATTTAGAAAATATAATTTAAGTAAGTTGTTTTGACAACTTATCTAGAATTTTCTTTTTATTTTTTCTATTTTACAAAAAATAATTTCAAAAACTCAATCTCTCACAATTTTTTCTTATGTAACATTTTCTATTCGTATTGTCACTTTTTCTTTCTACCTTTCATTGTGTTCTTTATATTCGCTCATAAATCTTGTTTATCATAACAATAATGGTGATGATGAATCTAAGTTGTGTAGGAAATAAGGACAATGATTCAAATGTATAATTTTAGACTTTGATGTTAATGATACCTCGTTAAGAGGTGTGTATGTGGGTTGAGACGCCTTCAAACTCCACCACAACCGTGACTTCATTTTTTGAGACATTTGTTAATGTATTCATTACAAAAATTATCTTGTCACCTTACATTAACCCTCTTAGATATAGACTAAAAGGTGTAGAACCATTATCATAAACATAGAGTCTGTCATTGGATATTCCAAGAGAATCAAGTTTTGGGGTTGTTGTTTTAGGGTTGGTTCTCACAATGCTGGTCCTCGGCACGAAAGGTGATACTGTGATAGTAGTTGATGGAATAAAGTTCCTATTGAGTCTCTAAAATTATTAGTGTCAAACATTTTAATTTGGGAGATCTTAAAATGCTTCCAATAGTTCTTGATATTTATCTTCATCCATAAATTTAGTCCTTTCAATCATCTATTATTAAGAAACAGTAACTTAATGTCGTGACATGTATGATTGATTGTATGAAACAAAATAATATCTCATATGGTATAATATATGCTTTTTCTTTATTATGGTCTCTCAAATTCTTAAGACATTTCATTTACCAATCATTCTTCTTCTTTTTCCTTGAAAATCAACAATGGTTTTCAACATCAAACTCTCATACTTCTATCACATTATTTCCATCACTGAAGTTTTCAAGAATTGACTCATCTATCCTATGATCCAACTTATTTGAATCAAGACATCATGCATTTCAAACATCCTCGTCTCCATAGGATTCTAAACCAAAACCTTTCACCTCATTAACACTACAAAACTTCCTCCAATCCATGTAATCATATCATCAAATCCATCCTTGAGTTCTACCCTAACCACTTATCCTCGACACAATTAGACAACAACCTTTTACAATTCCATCAACTGCCTTCTAAATATTTATCCCTATTATCCACTAAATCATACTTAGAGGGTACTTTACTTTCAATAACTTTCTTCAACTACAAAATTCACATGCTGTCCATCACCAACATTGGAGAAAAAATTCAAAAGTAATCAATGGCATATATCTCTCTCAAGAACAAAACAAAAAATCTCTCAATGAGAGTAGCTTTTAGCAATGGTAGTTTTCAAGATGGTAAGGAAGAATGGAGAAGTAGTAAGATAAAGAGATGGAGATTTTAAAATTTTGAAAAACTAAAATGAAGAAAAAACATATATCACAATATATATGACATTACTTTGTTATTCAATCAATTTTACATGTTATTTAATGTAATATCTCAACATTTTATTATTATTTTTTAATAATTAATTATATTTATAATTCAATATTTTGTTATTATTTCTTAATCGTAAATAGTTAGAAAAAGTAAATTGACGAATAAAAATGTTATTGAATATAAAAATATTTTAAAATTTTATAGACTAAAGTATTCAATATTAGCAATTTTAAAGACTAAATAGAATATTTACATAATTTTATTTTAGTGACATTTGCCCTGGCATCATTGAATGCTTGGAGGTTATATCCTTGCCAAAACTTCTGAGTTCTAGAATTGGTTATAAACTTCAACCCATGTAAAAAAGCTATCAGATTTTGTGTTGGTCATTTTTAAATCAATTCTAAAATTGATGTAAAAAGTTAATGTACACTTACTTAACATGCTTTTACTGCAGGAATCGATAGTTGCTTTTGGGGTCTTCTCATAAAGTTTTTTTTTTTTCTCTCCAAACATACGGTTAGGTGTTGAACGTTGTGAACATGAATGAGAAATACAGCCCCCTGATAGTGTTCAAAACTTTGTTGGTACACTATTATTTATATAGTTCTATTAATTTTAATTTTTTAAGTTTCCACTCATCAATATCATTGTCATGTTACTAAAATGACCAAATATATTTCTAATCTTTATTTTTTTTCTTTTATACTTGAAAAAATAAGAAGAAAATGCTATCTCATTCGAAACACAGGACATACCAAATGTGTTTGCGTACTTACAAAATGGTCCTCAAATATTGCAATGTACTTTGCTTCTGACCAGGTGAATCGATCATCATTGCCTTACATGTTCATAAAATCCCGCCAAAAACGAAAGGCACACGTTATATCCTCAGAACCGACAACATTTTTCTTACCATGGTTCCGACAACAATTTCCATGGCACTATTCTTTTGTCATGTCATAGCAGAGCACTGCAGAATCGCTGGTCTCTTTCGACGACTAGTATTTGAAAAGTTGCATGGTTTAGTTTAAAGTTGAATTAAATTAATTTTAAATTATTGAATATTTTAAAAATATGTGCATAAAATTAATCTTGACTACATATTTTTATTAGAATTGTATTTTGCATGGTTAAGTGAAGACACTTCAGTAATTCCAAATTTGAATATCTATTGTTATAAACAAGTGTTTGAAAAAACTTATCAATAACTTATGAGTTTATAAAAATAATTTATAACTCTTAAACTTTATTTAACTTATTTAGGTAAGGTTTTTAATATAACTTATTGAAACAATTATTTTAACTTATTAAAAAAATTTTATGGTCCAATAACATAAAATCCTTAGGTAATAAACATATATTAAATAAGCATTTAACTACGCTATTTACCCAAACACACCCAAAGTTCAGTTGGAGTCACAGTATACTTTACTGTTACTTGCTGCTGTAAGGTAAGGAATTCAGATTTTTAATTAGGAGTTTGTCTTCCACCTTTTGAGAACCCAAATAAATAAATAAAGCGACTATTCGACCAAAATTTATGAAGAAATGCAATCAAAGTAAATATTAACCAACTTGGTGCACGTAGCAAGTTTCTTACCATTTTCCATTCGATCAACAACCAAAAAGAGCCTACTATGCTTCACAGAGAATACATCTCATTTGAAAAGGCGAAAAAATGTCCACGATGGAAGCAACATGAAGGAAAATATTGGCCTTTAAACTCCCTCCATTTCATCCCACTTGAGTAAATTTGTTACATCTTCCATCAGGAATAAGTTTTCAGCCCCATGCCAGAATCAGGTTTGGTTTAAGAATGGCAAAATACTAAGCAAACAGGTAAGCATTCGACAATTCTAAAGCCATCATTATAGTTTAGAAGAAATGGCAACATTAGAATGACAATCTTAAACTCAACTAGTCTACTGTCAAGTATAATCTGCATGCTGTTGTGCTGTGGAGAATACGTAATGCTTTTGATAATCATAACAAACATGCAAAGCCAGATAATTCTTAATCAAAATTAATCTATCCATGGACAACAAAGGAATCAAAATTCAAGCAAGTCATGCAATGGAGCAGACAATAAATTGTTTATATTCTTTTCATTTAACATGACCATGCAGTGCTGAAGCCAGAAGCCATTTTCTATATGAGGATTAAAACATAAGAAGGAAATGGAAAATGCCAGGTACAGAAAACTCCGGAAATTTAGACTGAGAACTCAAGAAGCAAAACAGCTTCAGATTGAACCAGAGACAGAGAGGATGAGAAGTCTCACATACAATAAATATGTTATTTGAGTAACTCGAAGATTGCGGTGACACTACCTGGTGGAAAACTCAAGCAGCAAGATGGTCTTAAACTAAATAAAATAAATGATAGGAGTCAAATCTTTAGCCTTTGCAGGCAACTAAAATGCAAGGTTCGTTACAGCAGATAAAATTCCATATGTTAATTCAATCAAGCTGAAAGTTTAATTACAATAAACATGATATCTTGTTTAAATTAAATGCTAAAACAGTATGTTCTTTCATCAAAACAGTGCTTTACTAAATCTCAGTTAGCATGTATACAACAATGCATCTTACTATGCCAGTCAGAATACCAGAAAGAAACTCAACACAAATGGTTAGAACATAATACATTGTGCTTCTGAAACAGAGTATAGCTAATATCCCAGTGACGAGAAAATTGCTCATCAAATAATAAGATTCACTAGGAATCTCAGTAATTCGTACATTGAGAAATCATGATTTCTAACAAGACAAAAGAAACCCAACAAAGTAAAGATGAAACTCAGGGGACAGGTCTTCTGCATAGAAGCTCCTGGATCTACTCAAAGAGTTCACAACAAAATGTGCCAACTTTTGACATACTTCCTTAGATATCCAATAAGCACAATGCCAAATAACAAACTTGTTCCAGCCAAAGCTAATAGAAAACTCCTCAATCAGTAACGCTCTAGAAGATTACCTTGAAATGAAGCTGATTCCCAGACTCCTATGGGATAAACCAACATATAGGAAGCCTTGAAACCACACAACTAACGATTTACACACAAAATTCACAGAGTACAGACATCATTGCTCCCTAAAGACTCTCTAACAACAAGGTAACTACTGATACATTTGCCGTTGTCTATAAGGCAACCAGAGCAGAATCTAAAATTAATCCGAAGTACTCATTAATACAAGACACTTGTTTATGCCTCTTAAGCATGACCAATTAATACCACCAAGATTATCTGTACCCGTAACACAAAATTACCCACTTAGACCCTAACAAAACTCATGCCCCATCAGATATTAATTTCACAAGACAAGGTTGATATATAGAAAAAGTTACAAAGTTCAAATAAACATATAGTATGTTTGGAATCACATTTACATAGTCATAGATCCACCTTCAATTCAACACTACTAGCCATAGCTTTTCTCATGGATCCACGTTCACACATTTCTTAACTTGTTTCCAAACACACATAACAATTACAATAACCACATTCAATCATCTCCATTTGGAAACAAAGTAAGAACCTTTCTCCCTCCAGTAGCATTGGCTGATTCCATGTCCTCCATGTAACCTGGCACGGGACTGTGCACCGGAGCCCCAATCCTCTGAACATTTTGAGACTGCCTTGACAGAAAGGGAAGCTCAAAGTGTCCATTCGGGGGCGAACCGAAATGCGCCACCTGCCGGTGATACTGCGGGTGGCTAGCCACCGCCATCTGCTGCTGTTGAAGGTGGTGCCGCAAAGCCGGAACCGGCACAAACGGCAGGAAATGCTCAGAACTGGCCCGTGCCACTGGATGCAAGAAATGTGGCGGCACGGGCGAGCTGGCAAACAAATGGTCGGTGGCGGGATCGGCAGAGGCAGCTCCGCCGTTTCCGCCACCGCCAGCAGACAACCCCTGCATGCGTTTCAAGTAAAGGCGGTATTTTTGCAAATGGCTGGCGACATTTTCTCTAGTCAATCCGTCGACGCTCATAAGCTGCATTATGGTCTTAGGCACAGCATTTTTGATCCCCAAGTGGGCCACAGCATCCACAAACCTCTTGTGGAGTTGTGGGGTCCACACCAGGCGTGGCCTCTTCAGGGTGCGGGCGGGTTCCTCGCCCACATTCCCCGAACCCAATTCCGCGGAATCAGTGAATTCCGCGGAACTGGGTTGGGTGAGATTGCCTTGAGAAGGCAAAGGATCTGACGAAGGAGGTGGTGGATGAGAAACTTGTAGTAGCTGTTGTTGTTGTTGTTGCTGCTGTGAGGTGTTTCTTATGTCAAAAGCTACGGCAAGATCAGGGCTTATTAGGGTTTGGGACAAAGGCATGAGTTCCTCTGGGGAAGGGAGTTCCTCTTCCCATCTTGAGAACCAATTTGAGTCCTCTTCTCTCATTTTGGTCCAAATCCACCAACACAAACCCAAATCACTGTTCTCTCTTTCTCTCTCTGGTCTGTTCCTGATTCAATAAAGAGACAAAGGCTTTTGGATAGTAAAATCAATAACTGGTTTTTCAAAAAGAAGACATGATCTTGACAATGAAAGAAAAGGTTATAGAAAAAAAAGGGGATGCGATTGTGTGAAAAAATATTAGTGTTGAGAATTGGATTGAGGAATGGAGTGAGTAAGAGAAGAGGGTGAGAATTGAAATGGTTGAATTGTTGAATTGTAAGCGGAGAGAGGATCGAGGTGGATCTTGTTTTCTCCTTTTCAGCTTTTAATTCTGTGTACTGTTGTGTTGTGGGTGCTTATCTTTCTCATCTTCTGTGATTTTTATGGAATTTAATTTTTCCGGGATTTGTGGGTCTTATAATAAGACTCTGTTTGTGTGTTTTTCTAAGATCTCGAGATTTTTTGTTCCACAAACCTAAACTGCGACTTCGTTGCACGCTCTCATTAGACCCACGCAAATGATGACACCTAATCTATCCAAATTCTGCAATTACCATAATGCCGTTGTTTTGTTTGCTATCTCTCCTCCGTTTTATTTGTTCATTTGAGAAAATTATTCTTATTTAATTTAGGTTAAAGTTTTTGATAAATTTGAAATATTAGGAGTGTATTATTATTATTGTGATACTTTATTGGGGTAGGAGATTTGGCAGCGCGTGTAGGGGACGCGCAGTGAAGGAAGTTGCGAATGCAGGTTGGTAGGAGAAGGATTCTCAACTTTGTGGGGATTTATTGTTTAATGATGGAAGAGAGAATAAAGTGTGATGCTTCTTTCCCTTCTCTCTTTAAAGATAAAAATCTGATTTGAATGTCAATGTACAATTATGCCTATTCGCTTCAGTTTCAGATTCCCATTCATATATGCATGTGTGCGCCAGAGATATTCAAATCACATGGCAAGTGCATGTTGGCTCGAGAAATGAAGTGATAGCCGAATCACATATTGAAGACTAAACAAAACGAAGGTAGAGAGTAGAGAAAATGGATGCATGAAAAGATTGGGGTTTGTGTGTTGCTATTATTAGCAAAAATAGAGTGCACAATTATTGTCCCTTGAAAGGGTTACTTTTGCTTGGAAGCTTACTGATACACTAATTGAAAATTGAGAAGAAGGGTAGCCCACCCATGTCTGAATTCGAAGAACATTATTATGATGACAGATGTATCTCTTTGTGGCTATTATGCCTTTTATAACATAATTGCCCATTTAAGACAATTTGTCAAATAGTTTTGGAGCCTCATTGCCTAACACTATCCTTTAATTGGTGTAAATAAGTGGGAGAAAAAAAGGTATGAAGAATGAGAAAATGAGAGAATTAAGATTCAAAATTCATCTCCTCGTGTCATAGAGAGGGGTGGGAATGTTATTCTTTGTATTATTATAATTTAAAAAATCATTTTATTGTAAAAAATTAAAATAATATAACATATCTCAAGTTTGACATGTATTCTCAAGTTCTAGTTTTATGAAAGTAGTTGTGTTAAATTTTTGGAAGGACAACTTTGTCTCTTATAGTAATTTCATTTAGTTCAAACAAAATTACTTAATTTTATTTAATATTCTTGTTTTTATGAAAAGAAAAAAAAAACAATTACATTTTCTAATTTATTGATGATTTGACATTTTTGTTAGCATTAAATGTCTTTCGTTGACTATTGAAGCTTATATGCTAAATGTAAAAGTTAGGCTATAAAAACTAAGAAGCCATTTAGCATCTTAATAAAAGAGAAGAAAATTTTGGTAACTAATATCAAGGAGATTTTTTTCTCGTTTTGAAAGTTTTATGAAATTATTAATTCATATTTTAAAAATAAAAAAATAAATTGAAAATAAAAATTAGATTAAATAAGAATATTTAAGAGATAATTTCATTAAATAATGTAAAATCAATTAATATTTGCTTATATTTTAAATCACTATACTTCAATTTATATTTGAAATTGGAAGGAGTATATAATTTGATAATCCTAATTCTTAAATAATAGTATTTTTATAAGATATTTTAAAATGGGAGATTTTTAAAAGTTAGTGTTCTTTCTCATCATGCCATATGACTTTTCTTACGTTATATATTCATTTTAAATTTAATCTTAATATAACTCTTGATATTTTATCGTTTATTTTTTAATTTTAAAATTTTATCTCTGAATTCATTTTATTTAATATAATATAATATAATATTCATCACTAATTTACAATGTTTACTTTTTTTAAAATTCATCAAATTTAAAAATAATCCTATAATACTTTTAATTATTTTAAAATTTTACTTTAATTTAATAATATTCATACAGTGTACAGAAAATATGTTACTCACGTTTCGTGGCAGGGAAAGAGCAGTGACTAGAATTAATTTGGGAAGTGTTATTATGGTGAGATGAAGTTAAAACCAATGCCCATTAAAGTTAACTTTAATAGGGCCGAAGAGAATAAGGTGAAGGAAAACTACAAAAACTCAGTTGTAGGGCCTAAGAAAATTGGGTAATGAGCATAAGATCTAAAAGAAAACTAAGAAAATTAGGCAACAAGATCAGAGTCTAGAAAAATTAGTAAGTCGTGAATGGGCAATAAGGCAATGGGCAATAAAAGCCCAAAGGAAATATAATATGCAATCCAAATGATGCTTTCTTGTTGACATTGCTTTCGTTTTGTTATTTTCTTTCTTGTTTCTTTTTCTTTATGCTCCTCTTATTATGACAATTTTTTAAATTTTGTTTTTATTCCTTTTTTATGTCTCTTGTTGCACTTTGTTACTGCACTTTTAGGCTTAAAATTCTTATTTTTGACTAGATATGAAAGAATTAATGGTTTATGAAAAGGATGAACCACATTGGTTATGAATGAGATGTAAAGAACTACATAAACTTAATATTAAAAAAAAATGCTAGAATATAATTTTTTTTTTCAAAATTCTAAAACATTTGCATTTAACAAGAAAAATATGGAAAATCAAAACAAAGAGCATAGTATATAGACAAAAGAAATAAACCGATCATGATGCAATTTGTGAAATGCAAATATTTTACGTTCCAAAGCTAAATTCTTTAAATATTTTCGAAAAATAAGGGAAGACATTCAAATATCACTTTTTTCCCTTGCAATGTTCCATAATAAGAACCCGGCAATTAAACAGAACAAAATTTAGATTTTAATTTATTATATTCTTGCAATTAAATTCTCAAATTAGATGATATTTGATTTTTTTTACTTTTCCAAAATCATGTACTTAAACTTTGAGAACTTGATGACAAAAATGTATAAAACTTGATATACGTTTAGTCCTTATGTAAAATTAAAAACAAACCGACATGTAATAAAAAGTAAAAAAAATCCCAGTTATAGTAATTAATAGATTTAAATATATTTTAAATTTTTATAAATATTATTTATATTTTATTTTTCAATTTTTTTGTTGGTTGTAATTTTCTTACAAATACATCCTATTACTACTTTGTGATGAAGTAATAAGTAATGTAGCATATATAAATGCAAGCTACATTATTAGTAAGTTACGATATTTTCAAATGTTTAAAAATTTATGAGGATCAAAACTAACCCAAAAAACTTTTGAAAAACTAAAGCCAAATTTAATTATATTTACAAGGACAAAGCATATTTAAGCCTAACTAATAACAATGCACCTTAAAACCAGATGATAAAATTTACAATTTTGTTTTCATTTAATCTTTCCTTTTTAGTTTTTTTTTTTTTTTTTCAATTTAGTTCTCCAAAACTTGTTCTTCATGTCATATTATAAGTTAGTTAGATCAGATGATGCCACATAGGTCGATAACAAAGAAAATTAACAGATCACAAATAGAGGGATCATATGGGAACCAAAATATATTTTTAAGAGATTTTGTTTGAAAAAAAATAAATAAATAAAAAGAAGAGCAAATAAAAAATCACGAGTTTTTGGAAGAACCAAAACCTTACATTCAAGCCTAATAATGCTGTATGTAAAAGCCTGCACCCTGAACTAGCAAAAAGTCTCTTAGGCCGAAGTGGCCCCTTTTTGCACTTTGTTGAATTTCTTCCTCTAAAAACAATGAAGTACCTTGGTACAGAATTCTTGAAACCTCCACATTTTAATTTCAACATTGAGATAACATTACCTATATATTGCAATCATCACTGGAATATCGTTACTAACAATAATTTCCTTAAACACCCTTTCCCCCGGGCCAGCTTGTAAAAAAAAAGAATGTATACTCAACAAACCAAGAATTCATTAAATCACACACTACAAGCGATATTTCTAGAACCTAGTAACTATACAGCAATTTTAGGCCAGCGCCAATAGCAATTGGTTTTACCCATTATTTCAAATTTCACCTGTTCCAAGAGGCTGCCTTGAGGTATCTCCAGAGGCCCAGGCTTTATAATCTTTCACAAGCTGCTCAAAATAAATAAATCAATCAATCAAATTTATGAATTGTTCATTATCTAAAATGTGAACAAAATATATGCAGCAGGCAGTTCATTACTGAACCATAAGCTGTAAACTGTAAACACTACTGCAGTCAACATGCCAATCTCAGTTGAACCTATAAAGAACCTAAGGACTGGAATGAAATCAATAAAAAGTAGACCTAAAAAGTTTCTTGAAATGTTGAAAACACTTCTTCAGAACACCGACATCATATACAATTTTCCGTTGATTTATATGTCATAGATATTGGAAAGAATATGTTATTTACTAATTAGAGGGAAATTCAAATACAATCACGCTCAAAGACAAGCTGTATCCCCAGGAATTACCAGTTGGAGTGATAGCAAAGTAAAATGTGTAATTCTGGTCAAAACATCTCAACCTCAAATGTATATAAAAATACAGGAAAAAGACAAAAAAAATGGCATGCTTTCTTTTTCAGTAACTTTAGGTTGTCTTAATATAGCGGAAGTCCACTTAGGAAAGAAAAAGAAGGATGTATGATATGATGGGCTGCAAATAATGAATTCTACGGTCTTATGAAAGCAATATCTGTTACCTGCCATCTATTTCTTTATTCTGCATTATTGAAATAAAAACTCAGATTTTATACGTGCTGTTATAACCAGGTGCACAACAGACAACAGGGAGAAAATAAATAGACAAAAATTAAAGATGGTACAGCATACAACAGAACAAAGAATATTTTGTCCATGAGGCAAAATAGAGAGAAATATGCAATAATCAAAGAAAAATATGATTAGCCACTCAAATATTCAAACCCTAACCTAAGAACACTCAACTGCTAATTGCCTGAGAGATTTACAACAATCTGCAAGTGCAACAGATTGGCTTGATCCCTCCTTCCATCGCACAAGATCCCTCCTTCCATCGCACAATCCCCATGAAATTTATTGTCCGATCACATCACAGACTGTTTAGGCCAGTCACATGTTGAACCAAACCAAAACCCAAACTTAAAATACAAGCTGCTTTGTAACGTGCTTCATACTAATAATTTGGTACCTCTAGTTGTATCTATGTAACAAGTCCAAAAGCACATTGCAATTTTAGACAAGTCTACGAAAGTGCAAACTGATACTTTCAACCAAATTTATGAAATATGTCCCCTATCAAAAGCTCAGACAAGAAAGTTGCAATGCATTCCATGAAATAAAACAACTGACAACATGAAAACTTAAAAGCACAGAAGCATTCATCATTGAACAAAAGAAGACCCTTTAAGTAACAATATAACATTTTGAGCAATTGAACAAAATAGGGTTCAAGTCTCAAGATACATTCAAATATTGTCAACAAAGTATGCTAATTGATATTCTAAGCAAAACTCTAGCTTATATATATCCAATTAAGGGAAAATATGTCAAACTAAGCAACTAATAATATATATTTTCAATATGTAACTGCCTAAACTTGTAACTGTCATCCACACACATCACATCCTGAATACATAACTGCCTACTCCTATGATTACACATTATAGTCTGAATACAAAACTGTCCACATGACAGATTTTATTTAAATTCCTATACCTCCTGGAATAAACCTGTGAAATAGGTGGTTTTGCTTCAGCCTAGGATAGGATCCGTGGTGTTGCCAAGGAGAAGGTAGGCATTCAATTGGGTAGTGAAGAAAATGATTCCTTCTCTTAGTTAGTTTTCCACTTTTCTTTCATTATTATTTTGTATACTTTCTGCATATTAGCCCTGTAATGAGTGTACTGTTCTGCAAGTATTTCCTTGTTATTTCCATAGTAAATTCCTATCTCATACATCAGTTATTCATCCTAGGCCAGTAAGAATCTAGAATAAATAAATGTACCAGCATGTAGCCACATATAGCATGTTAAAAATCATGTAAATAGTGTCTACATTCATTGTATAGATTGATCAAATCATGTAATTATGGTAATTACAAATTAGGATATTTGTACAACAGCAGTAATAACAACGATTAAGCCTTATCCCATGGAGTGAGATTGGTTATATAGATCACACAATGTCATTAAACTCGGTCAAAAACAAAATTCTCTAATATATTATTTATCACTAGATGTTTATTAATATAATTTCCTCTAAAGTTCCTTTGAGTCTCTATCTATCCATTTTTATTGGACTAAAAATTATGTAATCCATTCTCCTCACTAGTACCTTCCTTAGCTATTTACATTATAAACACTAGATCACAAATTATGATATTTGTGATCTTATGTTTATAATTCTTTTGTGTTAGAATCCTCTATCATATATGATGTTGATTTGACTTTATTTCTTTCATTTATTGTAAATTTCATTTACAGTGTGCATATTGGGTACTTAGGATTGCCTACTATTGAATTAGCAGTTTATTTTTTCCTTTTTTTTGGGAGATTTACCATTACGGCACCCTATTTTTCCTCTACTCTTTCTTTCTATAAGAAGGGCTGTACTGTATATGCATGGGTTTGTTTAAGAGGCAACATTTTTGTGCCAATGCACAAGTACAACCTGCTACATCTTGGTCCATTTGGTTGAATCATAACTATCATATTTTTAAGGAGGCTTCTGTGGTACAACATTTGATTTAGGATAAAGATTAGGCATTTCATGTTTGGTTTCTATCTGTCAAGGAAAGGGAAGTTTAGCACCACTGGTTTTTCTCTGTTTTGTGTTTTTTTTGCTATGTTCAGGAGGACAACTTATCCTTGCATCTCTTTGAAAGTTTTTTCTTTGAATGAATTTCTTCTTTTATCCAAAAAGGAAAAACATATGTTAAAAACCAAATTCATGCAAAATATAATAAGCTTTAACAAACCTGGGACATAAAACGAGGAAGCATAATCCTGAGTATCTGGTCTAGGACTTGAGTACCAGCCGATTCAATTGCTTGCTTTGGTATTGCTTGGAAGGCAAAAGGAATTTCAATGCTTACCTGGATTCCACATAGCAATTAAAGACACTTTTAAATGAAATCCCACAAATAAAGATAACAAGAAAACAGAAATAGAGTACCACCTCAATTATAGTATCGGATGTGAGTTGCTGCACCAATGACTTATCAGCTTTACTATCACATGATATCCGGTTCACCATAATAGCTGCATTACCATATTAAAGTATTGAAAAGGCATTCCTGAAAGTAACATAAACCAAACAGCATGATACCCTACAGATTTTTATTTTGATTTTTCAATAAGGAAGTAGACATATAGTTTGCGTAATCATCACATTTACTGCTTTCAATGAATAGCTAATAAGCTACAACAAAAAGCAGTACTATGCAGAATAAGCATATATTCCCTTTCGAACCAGCGTAACTATTCAAGAAATTTTGTTTTGCTTTGTTTTGCAAACAAGTTGACAAGAAAGAACAACAGTTTTCAAGAAACAAAGTAGATGAAAGTTCATATAAACAAGGTAAACCCTAAATTCTTCATGAGTAAGCTTTATATAAAAATAAATATTTAAAACTTTGACAACATAAAATGTATTCAATACTTGCATCATGTTGTAAGCATAAAGATGTTGTAGGAAGATTTAGTATTATTTATTCTTAACACATTAACCAGAAATTTGTAGCTTTTAATAATCAAATCCAATGAGTTTCAATAAAAACGAACTATATATAGGTTTTCATTGAGTGCCTTGGGCACAGGTTAGAGAAATCGATAACGAATATCAATGCAGGAAACAAAAACAATCCTCACCATCGAACTTGTCGTTTTGAGCCTCAACCATCGGCGAGCCCTCGAGCTGTGATGAAAATCAAAACAAGAAATGAGAACTAGGAAAGTAAATTCAGCACAAGAACACAAGGTTGACACACCTTGCAAGACAAGAGCTTGATGCAACACCCATCAGGTTGCTCCTCCACCTTAACCAACAAAACTGGACAAACCTCAAAGGAAAAGAACTTGAACCTATACACGTAACACCTAAACGTGTTGTCGTTTACCCGCTCAATCCTCTCCGCGTCCAACACAGAGTACTGACTCGCCGGTAACCGCATATACTCAACTGCACGGCTCCAAAATCATGAATCCAACAAAATTACCAATTTTTAAAACTCAAGTAAACATATTAAAATTAAAAATTTTAAAAAATTACACAATTGCATTAATTAATGTTTCTCTGACATTACTTAGGGGAAGTTGGAGTTGCCGAACCGAAACCGATTCCTTGCGTCGAGCAACGAACCGAGCCTTCTGGGTTGGAGTTGCCGAAGCACGAAGCGAAGGGTGTGGGGATTTAAGGGTGCATTGGTTAAACGAAAACGAAATGGGAATGGAACGAACCAATGAAGAAGAAGCCATTCACCAAAGTCTATTGAGTCCAAAAGGATAGTGTTGCGGTGAAGAAGATGTGGTCACAAAACATATGCCAACACTACGCGCGCACGGACGCACGGACGCACGTGACGTGAGTCACGTGATAACTCCTCGCTCGTTTTCCTGGTAAAAACTTTCAAGAAATATTATTTAATTCTGTTTAACAATTTTTTTAAAGAATTAGTTTATCAAATTTTATAAAGAAAATGATTTTTTAAAATAATTCAGAATTTTAAATTTATGATTAATTATTAGCTTATTTTAAAATTATCTTTTTAAAGTACATAAATCCTTGACATTTTTATCTGAATTGAATAAAATTACATGCCACAGAGCTTTTTCTTAAATTATTCACCACTACTGTATTATTTGAAACTTTAATTTAAAATTACAAGTTAAGTTATTAACTTTTTTTGTTTCAAATCTATTATCTTATTTTTTTAAATAATTTATATATTATTTTATTTTTCACAATTAAATATCTTAAATGTTATACTAACTGTTAGACACAATTTTATTTTTTTTAAATTATCTTTAAAAATTACTTTATACAATCGTAACAGAATATATTATTTTAAAATCAGTTTTCATTGAATATATATAAATATAAAATTTATTTTATATAATTAACTATCACAAGAATAAATTATACGTATAATCAACTATTTAAAAAGAACTAAATAAAAAACTATAATAAAAATATTTACAAGTTTTAAATTGAAATTTTTTTTTATTTATCAATTTTTTTATAAAATGACATTTTCAGAAGTCTTACTAATTATAATAATTTTTAAAGAGTTAAAAATCAAATTTTAAAATGACTCTCGTTAGTATTATTTTTCACTTAATTTTTTAAAACTTAAAAAATTAGATTTAAATATTCGTAATATAATTTTTATTACTTTTTTAGTTAATCTTTCAAAATTTAAAATTAGGATTTTGGGTTGTATATTAATATTTTAAATATCTCTTTCATTTATTTTTATTTTTTGCATTGTTGATGTATCTTTTCTTTGTTTGCCTTTTGTTTTGTACAATTTGAAGATAGAGTATGATGTAGGGTTGTGCAATTCTATAAGTAGGTCTCTATTCTTGATTATTTTTTTTTCATTTTGAATATTCCTATTTTTCAGTTTATACTTCATTGAAATTCTTTGTATTTTTTTAATGACTTTTATCATATTTATTTCTCATTAATCCTTTAGACTCTTATTTTTTTTTTACACAAGTTATTATATTTAATTTAAATTTTGTTAGTGTTAATTTTAGGATTAAAAATAATATTTAAATCTAAAACTTTATGCATTTGAAAAAGTGAAAAAAGAATGAGACCAAAAGTTTCCTTATTCTTATTTTTTGACTTTGATTGTATTTCTTTTATGTTTTTTTTTTGTCATTAAGTTTTTTTTCTTAAACTTCATTTCAAGTTCACTTTGGAGATAAACAACAATTAGTTTTATATGTACACTTTTTGATGTTTAAAAATCACAATGCCTTAAGTTTTCTTTTTATTATGCATTTGTTACTTATTTTTGTTATATATGTTTTGATTTTTCAAAAAATTACAATCCCCTTTTTAGAGTTTTCTCAATTGAATATATTTATGTCATGACCCTTTTTATAAAAGTTAATAACATTTTCACTTATCTTTCTCAATTCATTTATTTAATTTATATGACACTAGATATATGTATATCAGTAAAAGAGTATGAATTTTTCAAAGATTTGAATTTAACTCCAAAATTCAAGTAAATAAATAACGAGCCTTCATGCACCTTTATATCCAGCATCCAAGTCTTTACATAAACTTTCACATTTACATCATCTAATTTGGTGCAAATCGAATACAAATATTTAAACATAGTTACATTCGTTAACAAATTAGTAACCCAACAAACTAAACATAGACCAACAAAATGGTCCACTCCATGTTCTTCCCAAAAAAAATTGCTAACTTCAATATTTCTTAATCAGACCTTCCAGCTTGAGAAGTCGATACATTCCATGTATCTTCTGCTCACGTACCATCATATGATCATGGCAGCACATACATATATCAAAACAACAAGATGCAAGAGTGAGCTTATAAAATCGATAATCCTTAATATTGAAATGTGAATGAATATAGATAAAATCATTTAAGCAGTTCATAACAATCAGCACACAACATTATACAGCTTCAATAAACAATGCATAATGTCCAGCTCATTCCCAGTCCATCTAGTGCAAATGCAGCAATCTCAGTTTCCATATGATTTCACAGCCTAAGTAATCCAGAGGAACTATTTTTCGATCTGAGAGCGACCCATCCCAGTATTTGGATCTAGACATAGTACAACTCAGCATCCTAATCGGCTCTAAAATGATGATGATAATGAATAGGATGCAGTATAGCTAAATCAGCATATTACAATACAGCAAAATATTTCATTTTCAGCTTCAGCATCACAATTATATATATATTTTCACAACCTCAACAAAATAGCAATACATATATTTACAGCAAAACTCAGCATTTCGTGTATTTTAATATCCTCAACATATACAACACAACATTACAGCACAACATATTCAATCACTGCTAACCAAGGTTATTCATCATATGAGTTAAATCAGCTTAGTTAAACGACTGAGAAAACTACTCAGCTATACTACTCTAAATCTTGATCTAGAATATGGCCACTCAATGACTTATTTCTCGGCTACATCAACATCAAGTTCTTAACTAGCTCCATGTTCACTATACAGATAAACCAGTTCAAATAAGCTTCCTTTACCTAGAATGAGTTCCAAAATAGTACTCCTAGGGAGTTCTGTAGAGAGATCGACCGTTTAAATGTAGAATAAGGCTTGATCAGCTCAGATCTACTAAAAAAATAACCTGATTTAAGTTCCTTGAGAAAAAGAAAGAAGAAACAAGGTAAAACCAAGAACTAAGCTTCGAGAACTCACCTAAACTTCAATGAGATAGAAGATCTCGCTTTGATCAGGATGGAATTTAGCGTTGAGGAAGAGTAATAGGAGAGAGAGAAATTGAGAGAGAAAAGTTGTCTGGTGAAAAAATGAAGTTTCTGGGCGCTGAGACCCCTTAAATACCCCTTTAGCGCCTATGCTCCTCGCTTGAGCGAGCTTTACTCTCACCTGGGCGAGTCAACCCTTGCCTGGACGAGAAAACCAGACAGTGGAACCTCTCAATTTTCTAATATTTTTGCTTGAGCAAGAATTTCGTCGCTTGAGCAAGCTACATCTCACCTGCGAGCAGCATTCTCGCTTGGGCGAGATTATGTCCAGAGAGCTTAACCATTACTCCTGCGACATCTTGTAACGCCCCGAATTTTGGTAATATTAATTATTATTATTCTTATATATATATATATATATATGTGTGTGTGTGTGTGTGTATGCATGACTGGTTAGGCTGAAATGGGCTAAGTGCCTAAGTACATGGCATAACACTGAGCTGTTCTCGCTGCAGCGAGAGGGTCCTGGGGGGAAGGACTGAAACTGTCCCTTTCTTGTTGTAGCGAGAGACGTCTCGCTGTAGTGAGAGAGCGACAATTTAGGATGCATTTCTGTGTGTAGTCTCGCTGTAGCGAGAGGGTCTTGCTGTACGAGATTCTACAGAAACCAGAGTGCAGTTTTCTCTTCTTTTTTTTTTTGCTATAGCGAGAGGGCGTGTCGCTGCAACTATCTTGCTGTAGCGAGAGTGTCACAACCATAAAAGGATTTAAAGGGTGTTAAGGTTTGGGGATAGTTATTTCTCCCTCTCCCTTCGAAATTCCTTTGATCCTTTCATTCTCAAAGCCCTATTCCATCGATTAATTGCCTCCAAAGTTGTTCGGGAGTTTGATTGAAGGTTGAATCCCTACAGGGAACGCTTGGAGGTAAGTTTCAATAGTAAGGGTTTCAATTTTTCATCCCCTTTCTCTATTGTTGTGGTTCCCCTGGGTTCTCATGAAGTTTCTCCATGTGTTTAGGACGAAATCCGTGAGGAGGAAAACTTTTTGGTGGATTTAACGCGTGGGACATCAATCCAAGGTAAGGGGGGACTCTATCCTACTATTTTGTGCATGAATTGTTGTTATTTTGCTGAATATTGTGTTGTGGCTGAGTTAGTGGGTAGGAAATTACTGAGAAATGTAATGTGGGCCATGTGCTGTGACATGTGAACATGATGTGTGTTGATATGAAATTGATGGATGTGGATTGTATGTAAATGTTGTGTGATATAATGAGTATGGGCACTTGTACCGTATATTTGAATGAATATTGTGAAAATGTGGGCTCAAGGGCCGTGTAATGTGAACGATAATTATAGGCTGTGTGCCGTGTGTAAGCATGATTACTACATGCGTGAATGGAATATGTGTGAATGGGCGTGTTAGCAACGTTGTAATGTGTTGTGAATGGTTCAGCGATACATTGGGGATGTGGGAGATAAGGACGGTAAAAATACCTTGAGGAAGAGGAAGTGGTAGTGACGCCGATTGTGGAACGAGTGCACCATAGGCCACACACTCTCTTTCTGATTAGACCTCTGACTGTTATCTTTGCTGAGCGACCCGTGACTGCCCACGTGGTATCCGTGAGGTAGGGGTAACCAGCAACCATTCATGGTGTAAATCTGTGATAACAGTGCCACAGTGAGTGTAGTTGGTGTGTGTGTGTATGCACGAGTTTTGTGTACTGTACCTATGGATATGGAATGTTGCCTGTTATTGTGTTTGTTTAATGTATTGGAAATGTGTTGGAGGTGAGACTTTACGTTGATTTTGTGTTTTTAGGTAGTGTAGAGTACTCACCCTTACATTTATTTTTCAGGTAATCAAGACGATCAGCACCGGATTTAGTGAAGGGGTGAATGAAACTGCTATAGGACTTAGGATATTATTTTAAAAAACTGTTGTATTTGAATAAGTCTTATAGCAATTATTTGATATAATTTGTAACCACTTCCTTTATTTGAAATGGTTAATGAAACTTGAATTAAAAATAGAAATTTTATTATCTCAAAAATTTAT